TGGGTTCAATTCCCAACACAGAAATGGTAGCTCACAACTGTCTGCAACTATTCCAGGGGTTCCTACTCCCTCCTGGACCTCTGCAAGTACTATAGACACACAGGTGGTGCAAACATACTTGCAAGCAAAACACTTGTACACATTGAAACAAAACTTTATCTTGCAGGGTGTTTTGTAGCTATTTTGTGGGTACTGTTGCTGTTTTTTGAAACAAAGTCTCATTATGTGGCCCAGACTGGCCTGGCACTCAAAATCCTCTGGTCTGGGCCTCTATAGAGTGCTGGGGTTACAGACGCGTCACCCTGGGTTAGGTTCATCTAGTCTGTTTTAACTGCTTGCTACAGTAACTTTGAATCTCAATTCTGCCAACTTCTTCAGGATTTAGCCCTCAACTTTTGTCCTCCACAAATTCTAAAAGTCTGTCTTCTTTGTTTTAAAACTTGAAGAATACACTGTAACATTGTCAGCATCCTCCTGACAAGCAAAGGGAAGGGGCGTGCGGAGGGGGGGAGCTTTGATGGGCCCTCTGCACCCCATCTACACAACCCAAGTTTTAATAAGTTGTAAGGTTTTATGTCATATCAAGACAGCCTTGACCTCGGAGAAGAGCCAAATTGATTTTGGATAAAAAGCAATAAGGACTACAATGATGACAGATTTCCAGGCACACCTGGTAATCCAAACTCTGCCCGAAGCACATTCAGATGCTGGTTATTCTCTAATGACAGAAGCCAGACTACCCGAATAAAGCCAGCTTTACTCAAAACGCTAACGGTGGTTAGCTTCGAAAGGAATGGCTGAGTCAAATTCACAGACTCAAGACCCCGTCATTTAGAAGCTCCAGAGTGGTTGGTGGGCCCAAGTAACGGTACCATTATCAGGAGCAACGGCACAAAGACGACACTACAAAGCATCTCAGGAAAGTCTGGAGGCGCGCAGGTGAGAAGCCAAAACACGGGCCCTGAAGAGGACAGAACAATACCTCCTCATGGCCCCAAGCCCCAGCATTCCTCCATGCTAGCCGGCCACGCTCCGGCAAAGCCAGAGACCCGAGCCCTTCCCCCCTTTGAACACTGTTTCCTCGTCTCGAATCCCTGCAAACCCTCCTGCTCTCCATCTCGAGAAGCCCTCAGGAAAAGCCGCCTCCTTCCCCAGTCTCTCAGGTACCGTTCCACCGGGCGCTAAGTGTTTCCCACGGTCTATAACCTTTTCACTTGTGATCAGACCTGAACGCTCTGAAGGCAAAAGCTGGGTCCTCTCCACCTTCCTGTTCCCTGCCAAAGACGTTCCCAAAACGAGGGCTGCAAACGCCTCCCGGGCTGGCCGAGCAAGTCCCGCACCGAGGGAACGGGAGTCGAAACTTGTTCTCTAAGTTCTCGGGGTTTCCAGCACGCAGTCAGGCCCGGGACCACAGCACCCGGCTGCGAGTCTTGCTATGGCCAAATTAAACCCAGGGAGTCCCGACCTTTAGGTGCGGGGTTTCGAGCGTGGGCCACGCGAGGCCGGGACCTGAACAGCGCGGTCGCGCGGCCCCGGGAGGCACAGGCCGAGGCTGAGGCGGCAGTGGCGCGAAGATGGCGGAGGCCGCGCACCCCGGCGCCGCCCTCTTCCCCGCGCCGCTTACCGGCAGGCGGGCGCGGCGCGCGCTCGGGCTCCGGCAGGTCCCCGAACAGGTCCATGGCGGCGGGCGGCGGAGCGGTGGAGCGGAGGCTCCGCGCTACCCTGGGCGGCGGCGGCGGCGGCGCCGTCAGTCACCCCGCGAGGCCCTGCCAATCGCGCGCCGCGCAGCCGCCGCCCCAGAGTGCTACGCGCGGGGGCGGGGCGGGGCTGCGCAAGCGCAAAGCGCTTCTGGCCTGGGCATCTGATCGCCTGACAGGTTGAAATGGCGTTTCCCGGGAAGAGCGGGCTAATGAAGCCGAGCCTGACGTCCGTACCGGGTTATGGTCCCCCACGACAGTGGCAGTCATCCCTGCACTCGCGCGGTCTCGTGTGCTGCGGCCAGGGCGTCAGGAGTGGAGCCCTGGAAGCTCAGGACGAAGGGAGGCAGGTCCGCACCTGCCCGTTGTCCCCAGCGCGATTGAGCAGGCAAAGCGGCCTCTGACTGACCCGAGTAGGATGAGTCTCCGCTGTTCCACTGGGTTAGAGTCCAGAGAAGACACCAATATAGGCCAAGCCACAAAAATTACCAAACATCCCTCATCTCACAGCAAACAAAAACTGCTGCTGCTTTACCAATCACAAGTTTGTTCCCTGTATATTTTCTTAGTCTCAGAAAAAAAAAAATCTAGTCATAGAATTACCGCCTCTTCCTGACATACAACCTACAAAAGACCTCACTTCCTTAAACGTATCCTCAAATCAATTGACTACACACCCAGATCCTATCAGTCCTTTCGAACAGCGCCTTACCTGTGTTTTCCGTGTTGTGTTGGACTCCCTTGGTGCATCAGGCAACAAATCATTGCTCCACTGCAAATCTGTTCCGGATATTCTCTGGATGTGATAGGTGGATCTGCCCAGCAGGCCTCCAGGCCACTCTTCACTGCTCCCAGACAGAACCTCCTCCACGACAGCAGCAGGAATTTGAAATAACAGCCTTGTCTCCTGTCCGCACCTCTCACCCACTCCTCAGCCCACCCCAACTTGACATGACACGCTAAGTCTCCAGAGCAGCTCTTGCTAAGCTTGCTGGTGACTTTCCACTCCTGCAAATAGACTTCATTCCCCGTGAATTCTGGCAGTGTTTGCCACTTGGCCTGTCTTTCCCTTATATGTGTGGACGTCTCTCCAGTTTTACTCCTATTCAGTACTCCATCTCTACCTCATTAACAGACTCAGCTTCTGTCTGGCTGTTATTTGATGGAATTACCTTCTTTTGTGGAGGCAACTAACTAGGTAGAACGGGCTGGTCATGAGCTCACAATGCCTCTACCTCCCCAGTGCTAGGATTATAGGTGTGTCACCACTCCTGGCAATTGGAATTCTGACTTGATCTCACGTTCTCTTCTCTTTCCTTTCATAATCAGACTTGAATTGCTACCCCTTTGGACATGACTTGTTAATTTTCCTACCATCTCTAGACACACATAGAAGCCATTTCAGTCATGACCTCAGGAGATGATCATGGTTTGCACTCTGTCATGGAGTTTGTCTAATACAAGACAGAAAACGCACAGCATGTCCTTTCAACTGACTTCTTTCTTTCAATGTCATCTTTGTGACTTTCCTCCACATTGTTAGGACTGTAATCCACTCATTTAGATAGGCCTCACCTTGTTAACTCTCTTAGTGAACATGTAGGTTTGAGCTTGTTTGGAGCTGTTGCCCACAATGCTTCGAGCATTCCTATCAATCTGATGAGTACAGATTTTCATTTCTGTTGGAAGATGCCCAGAGATTGGATCACTGGGTCAAAAACTATATGACTATATTGAGCTATGTTAACTCAATACTCTCCTTGGTTGACTTGTGTTTTGTTGAGATGAAGTCCTGCTGTGTGACCCAGGTTGAAATTTACCATGCAGATCAGCATGGCCTGAAAGCTGGAATGATCCTCCTGCCTCAGTCTGAGGCAGGCAGATCTCTGAGGCCAGCCTGGTTACAAAGAGTTCTAGGATGACCAGAGCTACACAGAAAAGCCCTGTCTGCGTCCCCCAAAAGGTTACAAGTTCAATTGTGTTTATGTGATCGTGATGCCAAGCACATTCGTGTCTCAAACCACCACTGTAGGAACAAGGTCCAAGAATGGAGTCCTGTGAGAATTTGGGGTGCTGTGAGAAAACTCGAAGAAAACAAGAGCATTGTCAACTGAGTTTTTCAATACACAGAGTTGTTCTTGCAGTGTGTTTTGTGCTCCTCCCAGGTATGGTGGGTAGAAATGAGTTTCAGAATACTCATTATTGCTTGCTTCTGTTATTCACTTTACGTGCCCCTATGGAAAACCACATTTTTGCCAAGAGCAGCTTGTCCTTGTGATTGCACACTTTACCCTTGTGATTCTTAATCATAATTGTCTGATGCTATGAATAAAATTTGCCTTATTTATTGTCTCTATTCTCCAGGGTCCCACCACCTCTAGAGTGGTGACACATCATCTGTCACCCTTTTAACATGTTTTTGAGAATTTCACATATTAATAGAATGTATTTTGGTCATAGTCACACTCCACTTCCTACAACTGCTCTGGGTTACCTCCATTGATTTGAGACTTTTTCCTATTCCTCTGTTTCTGTGAATTTGCCTTTTGGGCACTTCATGTAAGTGGAATCCCATGTTATTCTGCATTTCATCTAGTGTTTTTCTTTTCAAGAGTCATTCATGTGCACATATATCCTCCACGGATGAATAATGTCCCGTTGTATTGAAGAGTTATGTTTGCTTACATCTTTGCTTTGGGGGGTTTACACTCCAGTTGGTCCCACCTTTGGGATGCTGTTCTGCTTGTGGACCCTGCTGTGTGCAGTGTGACAGCTCTCATATATGCCACACAGGATGATGTAAGAAATCACTGAATTTTCCACAATAGCTATCCTATTTTACATTTCTAGCAACAAGTGATTACTGTGTTTCAGTGCTTGGGCTGACCAGATGTGGAGTGGCTAGGTCTTGCAAACACAGAAAGGTACATTCTGGTATAAGCATACAGGAAATGTCAACTTCGTTGTGTGAGAAACAGAAGACAGTTCCTCGGTCGTCTTCAAATGCTGGCCTATTGGGAAGCTGGCCAGGTTCCAAGTGAGTTCCTTTCAGTTTACTGAATCTATGACTGGCCAGGATGATTCTGGTTCAAACACCCAAAGGAGGAGGAGGAGAAAGGTATTTGACACTGAGCAACCGGAGGTAAAATCAAGGTCCTCTTATTCTGACTGATCCGGTTTCCATTTTGTCAAGCACAGGGCAAGGCCAGAGCTGAGATTCTAAAGAAATATGCGCACAGTGTAGGGTTGTTAACAAGGCCACAGGAGACACCATTTCTTATGTGTAACAACCAGTACAAACAGTCCTTTATAGATTGAGTTTATTACGTCTATATACAATAGCCAAGGGTACCAGCTCTTCATGAATCTAGAGTTGGGAAACACTAAAGATTGCCATGCTATGCTGGAACACCCTGTTGCAGAACTGATGCCTCTAGAGCAGGTTCAGAGGAATTGTGGACCTCACCAAAGCCTTAGAAAGCCTTGAGGGACCACAGGGAGGTGAGTGTGCCTGCTCTGTCTAGGAGGGTTAAAAGGAGCTCTGCTGAGATATGGACTCTGCTGTGTTTCAAGCCGTATCTGTGTGGCTCCTGTGGATACAGACAAGGGTTCCAAGGCAGACTTCTCCCCATGCTTATCCATCGGTTCCCCCAGTTAGTAGACTGGTCGTAAGGGACCTTTGAAGTATCAACTGAGAGCCTAAGCTTTCAGTTTGAGGAATAACCTAGCTTTACATGCTGTACATAACTCAAAATTCAAGGAAATTAACTGCTTTGGAAAGGGGTCATTGGAGACCACAGATGGCCCAATCAAGCATGGGCCCATTACTCCCTGGTCATATCTCGGGATATAACACGACGTCAGTGGTTTTAAATAGTCATAAAATAGGGTGACGAGATACTGAACACAGTATTGTGTCTCCACATCAGCTGAGGAGTTGGTATTATGGTAAGTTGTGGAGATGAACCTTGAGGTGGTTGTCACCATCTCCCTTCCTGGTTCATGTACCCCAGTAGGGGCTTGAACTCCCACAAACAGCAAAGCATCCCAGAATGTCCCTTATCAAGTCAGATGGATGACAAAGAGGCCACTTCCTCATTTGCTCTCTTGCTTTGATCAGGCACGGTGGATACTGTCAATAAGCCCCTGCAAGAACTGAGAGCTCCCGCCAAAAAGCAGCAAACGAGGCCCTCTGTCAGTTTGCTGCAGAGGAACCGAATCTTGTCAACTGCACTTGCGTGTGCCTGACCGCGTGTCCTCTTGGCTGGACCTTCACATGGGACCATAGCCTGAGCGCATGCAGACTGTGGCCTGTGAGACCCCACCAGGCAGAGACACCACTAAGCCACTTGGATTCCTAAACCACCGAACCTGTAATATGTTCAAGCTGCTAAATTGTGGGGTAGTTTGTTACACAGCAACAGATACTGCTGGCTGACTTTCTTACACAGGGTGAGAAGCATCCATTCCACCTTTGCCCTGGTACTGCCCCTCGAGTCCCCACTGAGGGACTGTAGGGAGTGTGGCTGGATGGGCCGGAGTCTGCCTGACCCTCCAGTTCTGAGGAAGCTGCTGCCAGGAAGCCTTACAGGGAGGCAGAATGCACAGGCTCTGCCCCCAGAGGAAAAGGAGAAGAGGAGAGCCAGTGGAGCCACAGAAGACAGCATCAGCTGAGCCCCGCTGGCACAGTCCAGCCCCTCCAGGGAGGAGTTTTTATGCTACCCTTCCCACATCTCCATTTCCCTTCCATGTGTGGAGGACAGGAGCTTTACCAAATTACCATAGGAATTTTCTGTGGAAATCAGACCACTGGGTTCTGAAAGGCAAACCCAGTCCTCTGCCTCCCTTGAGCCCATGGGCTAAGCTCCTTCAGGCAGCCTTCCTCGGGGCCTGCCTGTCGGAGGGCATGTCAGCTCCTCAACTCTCACCATGCTCATTACTCAGTCCTGGCCTTGTGTCTGACACACTGATGCTTGGGAAGTATCATCCCCTTTGAAATTACATTCTTAAGGCAGAGGCTGTGGCCCCCAGGACTAGGCTGAATTTCCTGCTGAAACCCCTCCTGGTCACAAAGGGACAGGCTGTCCCCAGGAGTTTGTTCCCAGCATCCCTAAGATGCCCAGACTCCAGTCTTCTCCTCCCAGTTCAGGACTGACCCGGTCCCCACAAAGACCCACATCTTGTCTGCTCTTGCAGAGCACAGGGACAGCCAGGCTTCCAAAAGAGCTCCCAGGGACAAGAGCACTCGTGAAGATGGGTCTTGAGCCAAGGCAAAACTACAGGAGAAAAAAAATAGGTCCGGTGCTGGCAAGACCTGAGGGGCTTCTGCGTGAGGCACCAGCTGGTGGCCAGGATCTTCTGGAAGTCTCTGATTTTGAGTTCCCACCACATCCTTAGCTAGAAAACAAATAGGAGTTTGGGCTCAAGGCCAGCCCAGAGACTTTTACATTCCATCCCACAGGAAATGGTATTTCTCTCTCCCTGCTTTGTCCAGCATCCCCATGTCCCTCTGTAAGAGCGCTGCCCAGGGCTGACTCTCAGCTCGTGAACAGGGTGGCTCCTCCTCAACTACCAGTTAAGACTAGCAGAAGCTGTCTGGGAGAGGGGGGGGGCAGGAAGGAAGGGCGTTTGACCTCCCCCATTCCCATGTTTTTCAGCCCGGGCTCCTCCCACAGAGCACTCACCTTAGTGAGGGTGGGCATGCTCCTGTGGGCGTCCTGCTTCTCTGGGCCGGATGTTCACAGCCTCGCCCCGCATGCAGTAGCTAAGGTGCTGCCCAGTGAATGGCAGTTCAGACCCTGCAACGGAAGGACAAGGGGAAATTACCTGCACTAGGCTTCTGGTTCCCCTGCTGTTGAGGGATAGTGGGGGCTGGCTTGCTCTGGAGCCGGGAGGGGGGGTTAGGGAGTAGGGTTGGGGAGGCTTGAGAATAAGCTTCCTAGGTAGGGAGAAAAAAAGTTGGAGTTTCTGGTGTGGTAGTCCACGGGGAAAGGGTCACCGTGTGGCGACAAACCTAGGCAGCTACAGGCACAGCTAGATTGTTGGAGGTCAAGGGGTTGGGCCTGAAGAGGAAAGTGGCACTCACCAACGTTAAACCACTGCCAAGGTGGCCAGGGGCTCTGGAAACGCAGTGCTGTGCGCCCCGACCCCGGTCTAGCCTGACCCCTTGGTGGCTCAGCAGGCAGGACACGGCCACTCCTCTTTCGGCCGCCAGCCTCTCAGGCTCCTTGGGCACCGTTGGCGTCGTTGGCGTCGTTGGCGCCGTTGGCACCTGCTGGTGCACAGGCCTCTGGGAGTGCGCGGGAACTGCATCTCCCAGGAGACCCCGGGGTTGCCCTCGGGCTGGGCAGAGCCTAGGCTTGGGCTCTAGCCTAGTGATTCTGAAAACGGGGTTCAGCTCTCCTCGGCCATGGCACTGATGCCCCTCCATTCCCCAGTTCCTCTAGGTTCCCAAAGGCAGGCGCCCCCAGTGGCAAGGAACACCACAGTGAAGATGGATTTACAAATGGTTGACAAATAGGAAATGGGATGACAGGAAAAGAAGGAAATCGCAGGTGACAGCAAGATTTTGTTTTATTTGTTTGAGTCAGGGTCTCTCTATGTAGTCGTGGCTGTCCTGGAACTCACTCTGTAGACCAGGTTGGCCTTGAACTCAGAGATTCACCTGCCTCTGCTTCCTGAGTGTTGGGATTAAAGGTGTGTGCCACCATGGCCTGGCTGATTTTTATTTTAACTTAAAAATATTTATTATAGGGGCTGGAGAGATGGCTCAGTGGTTAAGAGCACTGACTGTTTTTCCAGAGGTCCTGAGTTCAATTCTTGGCAACCACATGGTGGCTCACAACCACCTTGAATGAGATCTAATGCCCTTCTCCACTGGCATTCAGGCAGAAGACTGTATACACAATAAATAAATAAAATATTTAAAAATATTTATTATACACACGTGTATTTTGCCTGCATGTTTGCACATCACATGCATGCCTGGTGCATGCTTGGCGCTGACACAGCCCAGAAGAATGTGTCAATCCCTTGTAACTAGAGTTAGAGACGTTTGTGAGTAGTTTTGTGGATGCTCAATGGTCATCAAGGTTAGAACCAAGCCAGAGGCAGAAGATCCTGGTGGCAGATAAGGTCACTAGAAGGGTCGCTTGTTTGCTTATGTGGTTTATGTGTATTGAGGTATGTTGGAGACCATCCTCTGTTGAGCTGCTTAGAGCCTGGGTTTGACCACCCTTCTGAGGCTTGTCTTGTCCTTGCAAACCTTTTGGCTCCTGATTGGTGGAAGCTGACCAATTCCAGGGTGTTGCCTGTCACAGTCAGCTGCTAGTTCTGCTTTCAGCATGTCCTGATGGCAGGTGTTTGGGCAGAAGTGCCTCCATCTTGAGAACCATTCCGTTTTATTTTCTTATTTTTATTCTAAACGTTCACTAGAGACAGCTGCCATGGAAACAGCCCCACTGGGGATCTTGACAGCGTTGTCAGTGAAGGAGTGGGACAGTCTTTGCTTCAAAAATGCACAGTGACAGAGGCAGAAGAGGCACTTTCAGGACGTTTGCTTCTCTGAGGCCAGAAGAGCCAAGGCCAGCAAGGGACATTGCGTCCAGGAATTTTGCTTACTCTTCTTCCAGGTGGCAATAGGAGGAACAATCTGGAAAGGGGAAATGGTGCCATGCAGAAAGCACGTATAAGGGGTTAAGACCCAGTGTCCCTACTGGGTGGTGGCACACACTTTTAATCCCAGCACTTGGGAGGCAGAGGCAGGCAGATCTCTGAGTTCCAGACCAGCCTGGTCCACAAGAGCTAGTTCTGGGACAGGCTCCGAAGCTACAGAGAAACCCTGTCTTTAAAAAAAAAAAAAAAAAAAAAAGACCCAGTGTCGCTGGGAACCATGGTACTTCCGAATGGAACGGTGCCTAAGGCGTAGGTGGGTGTGGTAGGCAGAGTATGCTCCCATCCCCATCCCTGGAACTCATGAATCTGTGAGTTCACATGACAAAAGAAGACGGTGCAAAGGCTGGAGCTGGAGCCTGAAGGGAGAGCACCCACCCGGCATGCCCACGGCCTAGGCTTCCATCGCTGTCACTGGGAAAAAGAAAAAGAAACTGCAGATGCGACTGCTGAAGGGTCTCTGGCCAGCCCAAGCAAAGCAAACACAGACCTGAGCTGGGCAAGCACGGCTCTGGCTAGCCTTGCCCTACCCTCCCATTCCCTCGGCCTTGCTACATGCCTAAAGCTGCCCCAAGGTCTAGTCCCTTATGTGGCCACTTCCTCCTCCTGAGGCTGACTACAAGATTCAGCTATCAAAGTATTGAAGTTCAGAAATCAAAAGTCCCCTTCTGGCCACCTTAATTAACATGCCCAATTAAAATTAAACACTTCATCCTAACACTGGTTTCCTCCTTTACCTTTATAAACTGCCATTTGCCTATGGGCCACATCTGTCTCCTCTCCAGAGTCAGTCCTTTGTCCCCCCTCTCCCTTGTCCTCTATCTCCTGCCATTGTCTCTTATTCCATGCCTCCTGTGCCTCGGCGGCAAATAAATCTCATTCGTGCTGAGAACTTGGTCTTGGGGGTTCTGAACCAATACTGATCCCTACAATTATGGATTAAGTTAAATATTAAAAATTATCCAGACGGTCCCAAGGCATTTACAAGAGTTCTGGAAAGTAGAAAGTTGTGGAGAATCAGAAGAGTCAATGATGAGGCTCCACCGGAGAAACAAGTCAGACCTGGGTTTAAGGCAATAGAAAGTCTTTATTGGACTGGAGAGATGGCTCAGGGGTTAAGAACACTGGCTGCTCTTCCAGAAGTCCTGGACCAAGTGTTGTCCTTTCTACAAAGTGGTTCAATATGGTCAATTTGCCACCAGGTCATTGGCAGGTAACGCCAAGGAATGGTGACATATCTGGGGCTCAGTGTTGGTCTCTACTATTGGAAGAGCTGGCACTCAGTGGCAACTTTAGACAGGTCAGCCTTGGTGAGTAGCAGTCCATGTCATCAGGTCCATGCATAATCTCCATGTCTGTCACCAGGGCCGCTTTGCTCATAGACCTACTGGGTAATGACAAGAATGGCTGCCCATGGATCGGATCTACTTGATTATTGAAATCCCCCACTTCTAACTAAGATAGGGCTGGGGAGTTAATGCACACTTGATGTAAAACTGTAAAGGCATACTGTGGGCCTTGCCAACTGAAAGCAAATTGCTGCTGGTGGTCCTTATGGACAGGTACCAAAGAAAAAGACTTTTTTCCAGATCAATAGCTGTGTATCATTTACCAGGAGATGTGTTAATTGGTTCAAGCAAGGACACCACATCCGGTACAGCAGCTGCAATTGAAATCACTACTTGAGTTTTTGATAGTCAGGTGCCATTCTTCATGGTCCATCTGTCTTCTGCATTGGCCAGAAAGGAGAGTTAAAGAGAGAAATGGTGGAAACCACCACCTCTGCATTGGTTTTGTGTTTTGTTTTGTTTTCAAGACAGGCTTTCTCTGTGTAACAGTCCTGGCTGTCCTGGAACTCCATCTGTAAAGCAGACTGGACTTGAACCCAAAGATCCACTTGCCCCTGCTTCTTGAGTGCTGGAACTAGAAGGCCTGTGCCACCACTGCCCACCTTACCCCTGCATCTTTCAAGTCCTTGATGGTAGCACTAATTTCTGTGGTTCCTCTAAGGAAGCGATACTATTTTTGATTTGCCATTTTCCTTGGCAACTCCATTTAGCCTTTCCAACTATAATAGCTCTTACTTCACAGGGCAGAAAACCAGTATGAGAACTCTGCCAAGTTCTATGTATATTTATCCCAATTATACATACTGGGACTGGGGAAATAACCACAGGATCAGTTTGGGACCCACTGGACCTACTGTAGTCAGATTTCAGCCAAAGTGCCATTCGTCACCTGATGTAAGCCCCTTTTTAACTGGAGGGTCACAGTGTCTCGGGATCTTCTGGAATCAGTGTCAATTCAGCACCTACTGGTAGCACCAATAGACCCCTGGGAGCCTGGTGGCTACCTTTTCCCTAGTGTCAATTACCCTTGTAAAAAGTAGTCCCTCTGGGGAGGACTGGGGAAAGGCTAACAGTAAAACTTTTAGGAATTTTATCAAAATCCTTCCCAGGGGAACCTGACCATCCCTTCATTCAAGGTGTTCTGGGTCTGCAAACTGGCTCAAGTCTGAAACTGGTTCACAGGCCAAGGTTACCTTTTGTTGAGATCCAATGGAGCCTTTCTTTCACTTGTTTGAGAATTTTTATAGTTCAAACAAAATACACCAGGCAGGATGAAATAGTGGTGTGGTCCCTGACTGTGCCCTACCAAATAACCCTCCTGAGCTGGTTGTCACTCCAGAGGCCATTTCCACTTCTGAGCAAGAGACTGAGTCTGAGGATTACAAAGAGGTTGGCTCTGGGTGGGAGGAATACAGGGGCCTGTGGGAAGACACAACTGCTGCTATCAGAGCGGAGATGCTGGCCAACGCTCTCAACTGTGGCAGCAGAGCTTAGTGCTCTGGCCTCTAGACAGTGGTAGAAGCCACACAAGAGGACTGACTCACTATCCGTGTCTCTGTGGAACTCTACACTAGTTTGAAGTGATGAAAATAACCCCAGGAATAAAATTTCATTCTTCTAGCTGCCCACAGCTCAGCACTGATGCTAAGATAAAGTTGCATGGATCCTAACCTGGCACAGAGATGAACCCCAAATACTGAAGCACTCTGGGGACCAGAAGCTGCTTTCCAGCTTTTGAGAAAGATGCTCTTAAAGGTACCTGACCTAGGAAGGGACACAACTGACAATCCTAAACCCTCACACGTCAGCCTGCCTGCTTGCAGCCCATTGAAAACCATCTGCTCTGGGGTCAGTGATTGCTGCCAGCTGACAATGGAGATCTGTAGATATGCTAGCTCAACTTCCTCTCCTCCCTCAGGATTCTGACCTCCAGGGTCTGGCATAACCTCAGGCCCAAGCTTCCTGTGGCCATGATACTTTCACTTCAAGACAACTGGCTGGCATTCCTTGTCTCTGTAGTGGCACCAGAGGAAACTCCTACAATCAAGAAAAATGACAGCCAAGACCACCATATGACTTAGCTAGTAAAAAGGCTTCCCCAAACAAGCCTGAAGACCCAAGTTTGCAAACCACAGGGGAAGGCCAGGACTTCCTAAAGTTATCCTCTGACTTCCTTATACATCTTTATAACACACACACACACACACACACACACACACACACACACACACACACACACACCTCTTATCTTCCAAGACAGGGTTTCTCTGAATAGCCCTGGCTGTCCTGGAATTCACTCAGTAAACCAGGCTGGCCTGAAACTCACAGGAAATCTACGTGATTCTGCCTTCCCAAGTGCTGGGAGTAAAAGCGTGCATCACCACTGCTCAGCACAAATAACATTTTTTTTTTTTTTGGTTTTTCGAGACAGGGTTTCTCTGTAGCTTTGGAGCCTGTCCTGGAACTCGGTAGTCCAGGCTGGTCTTGAACTCACAGAGATCCGCCTGCCTCTGCCTCCTGAGTGCTGGGATTAAAGGCGTGCGCCACCAACGCCCGGCTCACAAATAAGATTTTTAAAAAGGAAAAAGAAAAGTGACAATCTAAAGAAGATTAATATCTACACAATACTCATGAACCTTAAACCAGGCCTTTGAAAGATACTTCCAAGGCAAAGGACTAGCAACTAGTCACTAGTATTGTCCTTGGAGCTCAGGAGAGAGCAGGACAGGGACAGATCATTTCCCTATGGCTTAGATATCCTGGAGACAAATCCCATACTAGTGCAATCCTCTGGGACATACTCCTAGGAGAGTGGGACAGCCTAGGGAACCTGCCCAGCAAAGGGACATCATCTCTACCAACGCCACATGAATATACGAAGGGTGAGTGCTTTAAATGGACACTCACCAGGCTTGGATGCAGGAAATGTGTGCTTGATTGAGTATTCACACATCTGACAAATCAATGACAGTACACCAGGGGCAACTAATCCCAACGTTCTTTATTTACTTCAATTGGAGCATTTGATGGCAACCAAATCCCCACACTCAAATGTCTTACAAACAGGGAGCAGCTCTCAGTGACCCTGCATAAGGTGCCATCCCTGGTCTCCGGGCTGAAGCAGCAAATCTGAATTTCTATTTAAGTCAGGACTGCTCTGGCCTGAGTATCCCTGCCTAGGACACCAGTGCTCAGCCTCAGGATTGGCCACTTTTGCCCTAGATCCCTCTCAGAGTGTTTGAAAGGCAGGGACAGGTGAGCCGGGAGAGAGGGGAGAGCTGGCAGCTCTACAGGAGTCTCCCTCCTTTCTTTCTGTAACCTCCCTCTCCCCATCCAGGATAGGGTCCATGAAATGGATTCCCTCAAGAAACAGAGCTAGGGGCCTGCAGGGGCTGGCCATCAAGGGTTGCCGTGCAAGCCATTCATTGAAAGAGTAGGGAAAGCATACCTGGGTTGTCTCCACATCATCTGACACCCAGGGAGGGAGTAGTAGACCTAGGGATGGCAGCCCACCCTCCGCAGGTCCCCGATTAGTGTTGTTGGTCACCAAGGTCTCCACACACTCTGGGTCAGTCGAGCTCCGGTCAGGCTGCCAAAGGATGTAGGTACCAAATCCAGCCCCTCGGCAGACACCCGATTTAGTTCAGCCTCCGGGACCTCTTCTAGGTCAGAACACAGGTCGTCCCCGGGACCTGGGGGACTGGACAATGGGGACCCTGGAATCCCTCCGGGAGGCCAGCTGTTCCTCCCGGGGCCTCCAGGCAGCCCAGCTAGGGAGTCCCCCAGCAGATCCCGGAAGCTGCTACTCTCGCGCAGTGGCATGGACTCTAGCAGATGGTTCAGGAGTTCAGCTGAAACGGTGGCATCGATGGCTTGACACGTGGACACGAACGTGTGCACCTCATGCATGCAATGGATGTAGCCAGCAGCGAAGCGCTCGCTTGCTTCGGCCTGCAGCTGCTCCCGCTCTGTGCAGGAGGGTGGGAAGAAGAAAGCAGCGTCCCGCACCGTAAGCAGTGACTACTATGGCTTGGACGATCCGCTCCGCGGTTTCGGGACTCACCCAGGAGACACACTGCCGTGTCCTGCTCTGGGCGGGGAGCCCTCGCCGTGGATAGGACCCGGGCTGCGGGAGCCGACGCGTCCTGCTCCTGGGTGGCAGGCGCGCCGGGTCGGAGCCCCCGCCCTCGATTCCCGCCGCCACTCACCGCGTGCACGGCCCCGTAGCGCGCCCTGCACGCGCCGCACCGTCAATTCCAGCACTTCGGCGTTCTCTAGCTTGGTCTGCACCTGCGCAGAGGGGAAGGGGATTGAGTCGGGCCGAGAGCTCCAGCGCGCACTCTGCAACCTCCCGCGCCCTTCCCTCCGCACCTCGGTGCCGGCCAGCAGCATCCGCAGCTCCTGGAGACTCTCGTTGATCCGCGCGCGCCGCTTCTTCTCCACTAGGGGCTTTCGGGCCTGTGGGAAGCGGGCCACTGAGCCCCGGGCCCGCGCAACCTCCCGCAAGCCCATCCGCCCGTGGCCCCTGCCCGCACCTTGCGGTCCCTCCGTCCTTCCCAGCGGTCCTCATCCTCTTGGCCTGCACGGTCCCGGCTGGGCGCCAGGGGCGGAGACATGGTCCGCAGTGCCCGGAGCCCGGCGCCGGGAGCTGAGTGCAAACCACACTGCCAAGCGGGCTAGCAGCCCAGAGGCCTCAAGAACTCTTCGAAGTCTTCCGGCCCGCGGTGCCCCGCCCCTTTTATAGCGACTTATTTGCATGTCAATGCACCGATTGGCTGTGCGTGCCCGGAGCTGCCAGCCGCGAGGCTGCCCGCATCCAATGAGAGTGGCCCGCTTTGTCAAGACCCGCGGGGCCTCTGGCAGCTGGCGAGGCGGAGCCCGCAGCCGGACCTCCTGCCACTCCCGCAGGGGCGGGACTCCGGGACAGTGACCCCGGGCTTCTGCCTTGCTTGTGTACTTGTACCTCCCTCTGCTGAGTTATGAGCCCAGATCTGCCAGTCCGTGAGCCGGGATTTAAGCTATCCATTCTTCCGTCTGCGCAACCAGCCGTTCCACCCACCCCTTCACCCTATAGTGTTTTTGCTTCCCTTGGTTCCCCAAAAGTGCCTCCCGAGAATAGCGGTCCAGTCCTGGACCGCGAAGTGGGTTTCAGGCGGGGCAGTGCCAAAATCAAGTCCATGCCCTTGGGGCCTGGAAGGGACTTTGGGTCACTGGGGGCCAACTTAGCAGGAGTAGGGACGACCCCTGGACCCTTGTGGTTTTTCGTGGACTCCTGAGGACACCTGTAACCTTTTTATACCAAGGTCCTCAGTCGTTCTCACTGTAATTTCTCTTTCTCTGAGCTCTTTCTAAGTCACTTACCCAACACTTACTTTGTCTTTCTCTATTCCTAACCTGCCCCCCCTCCGCCCCCGGCCCCGCGCCAATCCTCTATTTCCTTGTTCTCCGTCCCATACCTGCCTAAACTCCCCTAGTCCCTCCGCACCCCCATCCGGTGCTTTGCATTCCCCTGCCCCCACCCCTTTCCACGCCCACCTCCCTCCCCCGCGAGTCCCCTGCATGTCCCCCTACCCCACCCCCACCTCCGCCCCGCGCCCAGTCCCTCCCGGCTCCTCCCCCTTCCATCTTTGGGCCCTGCAGGCGGAGGCTGCCGTCTGGTCCCCGTAACTTGATGCCCGTGACAGTTGGCAGCTGCAGCCGCTTCGGCAGAGAAAAGCGGCAGCCCGGCCAGGAGCGACAGGTGTTGGCCGCGCCTTTGTCTCGCTGGCTTTGTCCCGCAGGCAGCGACAGGCACGCCTGTGTCGGCCAGACGCCCAAACACCGCGTCGTCGGCGGTCCATCTGCCGGCCTCGCCTCGCCGCGGGAGGGGGTGGAGGAGTGCGAGGGCGGCGAGACCGCGCCCCCAGGCAGCACCCTAAGAACCTCTGCCTCTGCTCCATTGTTCTTGGTTTCTGATGCTGCTTCAGAGCCGGGACACCGGGCCGGCTCCCAGCGGGCCTTTAGGTCCTCCATCCTTAGGCCTGGGCACTACCAAGCACCACTACCAAGCACCACTGCACTCTTCATCATTCAGGTCTTGGTAGCTGGTGCTTCTTCAGCCTGGCTGGAAGGCCTCCGAGGAAGAAGACCAGGCAGGAACTGGAGCAGTTGGGCTCCTCTACCCTCCTAAAGATGTGTCTGGCAGACTCCTTGTGGCTCCACTGCAGAGGGGCCCCCAAAAGCGTCAGGTAGGACGAGCTGGGTGAGAGGTCTGAAGTTTGAAGGTGTCCAGAATCACCTGACTAGCGGCCCTCCTGCTGTCTCTCACCTTTGCATCTGAATTGTTCCTCACACTACCCACAGCCCATTAGCACTCACCCGGGTATTCCCGACGAGCTCAAAAGCTCGGTTCTCTTGCACCATCCCCCAGGGACTGCTAAGGGTCCCCGTCCCTGGTGGTAAGACTCCTATGTAGGGGTGGGAATGATTCCAGTGGGGGCAGTTTGTGACTTCACTCTTTAGCTATTAGCTTTCAGTAAAGGAAATTCTAAAATGATTACTTTTAAGTTTTCACTACTTGGAGGCAGGCAAAAATAACCTTTGGTAGCTTTTGTGTGTGTGTGTTTCCTTTTTTCTTTTTTACTCGATAGTTTACAACTCTTTTGTACTTCTCCCCACATCCAAATGAGCAAGGCTCCTGTTGGTACAGCATAAGGGCTCTTAGGGAAGACTTCAAAATGCCAGGGGGACACCTGATGGGAGAGTTAGAAGTGGTGTCAAGGGGCTGGAGAGATGGCTCAGAGGTTAAGAGCACTGACTGCTCTTCCAGAGGTCATGAGTTCAATTCCCAGCAACCACAGGGTGGCTCACAACCATCTGTAATGAGATCTAGTGCCCTCTTCTGATGTGTACATGGAGGCAGGGTGTTGTATTCATAATGAATAAATTTTAAAAAAGAAAAAAAAAAGAAGTGGTGTCAAATAAGGACATAAAACAAACGGCTAAAGGAGTTAAAAGCAACTAAGAACTGCAAGGAAAGCAAAGCTACCCAGAAAGAGAAATGTAGCCATAGCCCATTCCTAGGTTTGGAAATCAGTCATGGACTACAAAGCTTTGTCCAGTGCTGTGTGAATCGGGGTGTGTTGCAAAATGCTGTCTAGTACTGGGAGAAAGAGAAATTGAGTACTTGGGGTATGCCTCGGTGTGATTAGGCATTCTTCTTGGAAGGAAATGAGGGTATGAGACAGGAAATGCATTTTGGTCAGGGGTGGGAGGTAGGAGGAGTTGCTTGAGGTCCCCCTGCAAAGCTGGCCTCATTTTAGTGATTTCATTGGCTAGGTGGCTTAGACTTTTTGTCCCAGAAGTTTGACTACCCCATCTTGAGGCCAGGAAACCCTCCTCCTCCTGTCCACCTCCCTCAGCTGACCTATTACTTCCTGCCATTTGTCCCCTGGGTCGTATCTTACCTTCAAAGTTTGCCTGCATGCAGACTTCCTGATCATTAGGGCCTTTTGACCCCCCTAGAGCCAGGAACAGAGGCCAACAGAGGCTGGGCAGGGCCACAGTGGCCACAGGGTGACTAGTTAGCAACAGAAATAACAGGCCATAAATCCCCAGAGGGACAAAGGCAGCAGCCGGCCTGCAGGCATCCAAGCACTTTGTGGGCAATCTGCCCAGGAGACTCAAGAGAATGTCCTTTTGGTTTGAAAATAAGAGAGAGGGGCTGCCCTTCGGGTTATACTGCAAAGCACAATTAGAGCCCTCCAAGACTCAGTCAGTGAAGCAGCCATGGCTGCCAGGAAACTGTGTTTCAGACCACTGTATCAGCACTGTGGTCAGACAGCACATTCAGAGCTCCTGAAAGCTGATTGCCAGACCGGGTGTCATGCTGTCCCTCTGCTCAGGTCCCTAGGACCCTGGCTTGGAGAGAGAAAAGAAAAGCAGTCCTCTTCAGAGTAGTTCTCACAAGGTTGTCTATCAGAAGGGCCAGGGTAGAAGGCCTGTGCCCTCAATGTACGCACCCAAAGGCTGTGTAAGCCTTTTCTAGCATGGCCCCCATGTGATTTCTGCACTCTCAGTTCTGAGGCCAGCACATAGGCAACCCGTCAAAGCTAGCATTAAAGGAGAGGGTACAGGGGTCATGCTAAGTGGAGGATCTGCTAAGCAACCATGTGTCAGTAAGAAGTCATCAAGAGACGGGATCAGAGAAGGTCTAGCTAGATCTGCATTACAGGAAATTCCTGAAGGGATTGAATGGGCCAGGGAGGCTGAGCATGGGAGAGACACAGATAGGAGCTGGGCCAGCAAAGAATACCATGCAAGGGAAGTGATGAGTTTGCTTTTGGGACTGAAGAAACCCTAATGTACCATTTTTGAGGTTCCTTAAAAATTTTTTCTGATGTCATTCTATTTGGTTTATTGGCCTATGTTATGTTAAAAATATATACACTGTTAGGCTACTAGGTTCCCCCTAATTTGCATGAGGTCCTGGGTGGGTCTCCTTCACCACAACAAACAAAGCATACAATTGAAAATAAAAATATACTTGCTTTATTTAACAATTCTCTAAAAGGCAAAAAAGTCATAAAAAGACACAAGCAGTCACACAAATGTATTGCACTGGGTGAAGGTACGTTTGGTTTGCACATGAGCAAACCACTTGTCCGGCAAGGCTCACAAGTTGTCACACAAACTCTGAGAGCTTATTTACATTAAAAAGGAGGCTCAGTTTAAAATAGAGAAAGTCTCATGACACCCGTGTAAAGCACACATTCTAAAGAAAACAGGACTGGGTGCTTGGCGTCTTGTAAACACATTCACGAACATTATCCTAGGAAGTCAACTTCTGAGCAGTTAACAATCAAGGAATATATATTAAATAATCATAAAATAATGCTGACGGTAAACATTCAAGATAGTAGAAAGAAGGTTTTGGCAGTTTTGTGTTTAAGTAACAAGCGTAGGCTTAGACCACCATCTATCTATCTACCCTTAAGATCCAACTGGTGAGGGAGGCAGCTGTCTGTAACACCGAATTTCCATTAAAACATGGCTACTACCTTACCGCAGTCAAAGATGGTGTTGCTTTAGTAAAAAAAAAAAAAAAAAAAAAAAAGAGTTCTTGTTTTTATGAAAAATAGGGTTAACATTCAGGCATCGGATGGCTTTACTCTGAAAACCAACTGCAGTAAGACAACTTTGTAGTAGCCGCTTAAGACTCAAGAAATTCTTGCTTTTTCTGTTGCAGACAATGATTCCTCACTGGTGGCTTCTCATTCACACCAGGGGCCACCAGTAAGCCTGTCAGATAATCTTTGGATGTCTGGTGCAGCATAATGTTTTGTAGAACTGGGCAGAGAGGTTCCCATCTCCCCAAAGGTTTCCAGTGGTCTGAGAGCCAGCAGCGTAGACAGATGTGGTGACGGAGACCTGAAGCCACAGGAACTAGGGCGCCAGCCGGGAATTTAGTGAGGTTGTTGGGCATCTTGCAAACCGTAGAACACTAAGGGTGGCAGTGGCAGTCACTACCCCTTCCCTGTGTTCAGTGACTGCTCTCTGCTGGGATCTGCTATCTTAGAGATTCCAACCAAAGAACACATATGACCGTGTCCCCACAACAGCAAAGCCTGGTTTGCAGATGCTACCTAGCATGCAGACAGGGTGACATGAATGATAGCACACCTCTCTGGAAACTGGTCATGATGGTGTAAGAAGGATGCATGAATGGCACAGAATGTACAGTGTGG